CTTACATTATTGATTGTCCTGACAGTGCCATCATACATTTTGATGGTAATGTCACCAATCTCAATCACAGTTTGAGAATTAGTGTCTCACATATAAACCTTTCTTGGTTCTATTTCTTTGTAATTATAAAATCATGACTTTTCAGGGCACATATGAAAAGTGCACCTTGTGTCCAGAATCCAGTCTTTATTAGGCTCTTCATTAGACACATTCAGAACATGTAAACTATCCAATTCAGATACTATGGCAGCATTATTTAGATCATTATTATTCAGTTCCTTTTGTTTCTTTTTCCGGTCAAAGCAGTCCCTTTTGAAATGTCTCAACTTCCCACAGTTATAACATTTCTTATCACTTCTGTCTTTTGACTTAGATCTAGTTTTAGATCTCACTCTTCCCTTCTTGTTTAGAAAATTAAATTCTTTGTTATCAGTTCTTCCTCTTACAGACATGCTTTCTTCTCTTGAGTTGGTTCTATTATCCCTCTTAAGCTCTAACTCTCCAGCACTTCTTGTTATGAAAATTAAATTCTTTGTTTTCAGTTCTTCCTCTTACAGACATGCTTTCTTCTCTTGAGTTGGTTCTATTATCCCTCTTAAGCTCTAACTCTCCAGACTTCAATGCATCTATCAAAATTGCTTGTGTAAGAGTACTCCTACCATATTTTATGGCATTCCTAATCTTTTTATAGGAGGTAAAGAGTCCAGTAATATAAAAGCTAAGCCTTCATCCTCAAACTTTTTATAATTGTGTGCTAGACTCTTAACAATTATGTTATAATCACTTAGGTTTCCTTCCAATTCTTTTCCAGGATCCATTGTAAAACTAAACAACTTCTCTAACAGATATATTTTATTATGTAGATTCTTAGTCAAGAAAAGAGATCTAATGCAGTCCATAAAGTCCTACCAGTTTTAACACTATCAACTTGCCTAACAATGTTATGAGACAAACGTAAAATTATAGAACTATATGCAATTTTATTCATCTCTTCAATTTCGGTAGGTTTTGCTTTCAACTCATCAGAAAATGTGATAGGATCATCAAGGGCCTTTGCAATCCTTTGTTGGACCAGAATGACCCTCATTTTCTGCTTCCATATAGAGTAATACACATTTCCATCGAATTGTGATCATTCGACCTTCGAACCCATTACGGATTCTGTAAAAGGGTAGCTTATACTCGTGGACATAGCAGAAAATGTTTTGAAAAATAATTTTCAGATAATCAGCGCAATGAAACCACATAGTCAAAAGTGTTTAGAAATTGAAGAATAGTAGAAACAAATATTTGACAGTATCGTTAATCAATTCAATCAAGAACTCCAGTCAAATATATACAACAGGTATGAAAGAAGCTTAAACAAATTACAGATATACGTTTCAAAATTTCAAAAAATTAATCACAAAAATTCAGAAAATATATAACCTATTATGCATATACCATCTACAGATAGACGCTAAATCGAAATTAAAAGAATGTTTGGAAAGATCTTACCAATATTGTTGAAAAACAGTATTATTAACGCAAAGCCCTTAGTCGAGCACACCAGTCAGAGCATTCGATCAACCAATCAAACTTACCCAAAAACCAGTAAATTAGCCAGTGCTGTCTCGCCCATATTTAACAACGGTAAGAGCTAAGATACCAAAAAATAATACACTAGCTGTTTAGATCTTTAAAGATCTATATAGATATGTACTTAATATACCTAAGAAAATAATATTTTGTGAAAGAAAAACACAAATCTAGAGACTTTGATGGCTCTGATACCAAATTTGTTGGGATTTTACGTATGAAATCACTTATTAAAGTGAACTATAAAGCACAAACGTACATAAGCAGTAAAAAAATGAACAAGAACACAAAAGATGTTGACCCAGTTCAGACAAAATGGCCTAAGCTGGGGGCCTCAGGAACAGCCCGTTCTACCAGTGCAAATCTACCTTCCAAGAGAGAAATATTACATCAAACCACTTGATTCCAGTTTTGTTCATCGATCGAACGATCTCACAAAATAGAGAGTTCAAAACTCACAAATCCAACCCAAACACTTAGAAATAACCTACACAAAATTAGTCTCTATTTCAGACATGATTATCACACAAGATTCACCTCTAAAATCGGTTAGATCTATTACAGANACTCTTGAATCCAGCTTTGCAAGAAGAAGAAAAAATCGGTTAGATCTATTACAGAGAACACCACAAGAAGAAGAAAAAATTACAATCTCATACGAGGAAGCCAAAAGAGAGAAAAAGACGAAGAGTCCAGAATTAGAAAAGTAAGGACTCAACGGTAACTCAATAGACGATATTAGTACAAGATTAAATCTCAGCCATTGATTTCATCTAACGGTCCAAATCAATTCAAACTAGCACAATCCGTGTGAAGGCCCAACTACCAATAAATGGTTGCCACATAAACAGCATTAACCAAATAAGCAGCAGACGGCAATTGACACAAATAGCACCAATTTTAAATATTTTGAGAAATAAAACTCTCACAAAGTGTCTTGTCGATGTAGTTCGTGGATGCCCTGTGAGCATCCAACGAAGCCAAATAGTAAAAAATGTATAGTACTTGACAGTCCTAAATGAGAGTGAATTTTTATCGCCTGCATTGAAAATGTTTTCGAACGATGAAAAATACAAGATTGAGTCTATAGATAATAACTTTATATAATAAAATGTGACAACCTTGTATGATTATGCACATATGTTTCGGTTTTTAAGTTAAAATTTGAGATGAGGGAGTTAATTTGTGGCATCCTTATATTCATTGGTATTTGATAGTCTCAACAACCAAACCAAACCAAACTTGCAGAGACAGTGACTCCACTAGGGTGTCCTTGGGAACAGTAGATAAAAACGAGAGGGACATTTGAAAATGTAAAGAGATTGCAATTTTGGATATGCTGCTACGTGGGAATAGACTCTTCATACAAACTTTCTTTAAGTGCCCTCTGCTACCATGCAGATGTTGAGCTGGTTTTCAGACTACTTGTTCTTACCCAGTTGGAGGATGGAAATTCTTTAGGAATGAATTGGGATATGTGATTTAAAAAATTATTAGTACTTCACTATAATTAGATAAATATTTAGAGAATTATTGAATAAATAATAGAATATTATTATTATCTCCATAAAAGTGAGTTGCATTATATTTTGAACAGATGTATGAAGTGCATTGAATTGACGATTGAAATACAAAATAAGGCGATTAGTACATAAGACACTATTTTGTATATTGCTCCAGAATAAGAGGTTTACACTTTGTTATGTTAAAACTGTAATAATCATTACTTTATCAATTGGAATACGGATTTATCTTAACTGTGGTGAGAGGATCTCGAAAGTAGTGAACATTAGTATACTTAATATGAGCAATGCTACATTACCAGAATTTTTTTTTTAAAGAAATGTTACAGATACTCACATTGCGGGTGGGCCCCATTTTTTTGACATTATTTAATTCACATGGGGCCCACACCCCGTGTGAGAGTCTGGTAATGTTCTGTTAATTTTTTTTTCTGTACACCCAGAATTTTCCTACTTAATATATACGGAAGTGATCTGAACTTGACTATTTTGTGTACGAGTTTAATTCTAATGCATAGCCTTGATAAAGATTATTAAACTCCACATCGATTGCTTTGGGATTTACCTAAATCTATTACGGATTAATAGTTTTTACTAAAAATTTACTAAAAATCAAATTTACTAAAAATCACATCGAGGCTACATATATATGACGACATTCAGAACCAACGAAAATTCTTTGCTTCCTCCTTTGTGGTAATATGCATGGCTTAGTTTATGATATGATGGCTCAATGAATAATCGTTTTTTGGTAAAATGTGTGGGTTGATTTGTGAATAAAAGATGTAATGGAAGTGTTCGTGGAAAGGCCAAAGCAATTTCAATATCATAGATATTTGAATACAACATTACAAAAGTAGGAAAAATATTAAATCGATCATTGTCCCGCCATTAGAATAGTTGAGTGTATATTGTCTCCCGTCCCAAAATCGAACCAATGTATAAAATTGCAAGACTTGACATTGCATTAAGAGAATAAAGTGAACTCAAATGATCTAAGTTTGTTTTCCATTTAATTTCAAATTGGAGATTAAACAAAGGAATGAAGAAAAAACACATCAACTATTACGAGGAGATGATTATGTCCAGTTTAATTTATAAAGGAAATTTAACCTAGGAATTGTTTATTCTTCATTGAGTGATTGTTGATGAAGAGAATCCTTTGATCACCGTGACTGTTTCCAAAACTTTTTATGGTATACTAGGTGTAAGCAACGTGCAATGCACGTTTGCTTAGTTTATATTTAATAGTTTTGTTTAAGAATTAATTTGTTATTAATAAAAATGTAATTTTTTGGTTAATTAAATAATTAATGATATAATGTTTATGTAATTGATAAATAATATATTAAAAAAAAAAAGAGCTAAGCAACAACGATTCCTTTTCTACCAACTAGGAATTGTGATATGCTTCACGCAGGAAAACAGAGTCCCTATCGCCCTTCAGAGAAACATAGATCATATCAGGATGCCTTATCAACATCTCCTAAGTTGTTGAGAAAATCTGAATTCCTCTCGAAAATGGGTTAAATGATCAACAAGTGTTCCCTTCTCAACGGTGAGGCTCAAGATCTCGTGAACACCACCAAATGCATGCTTTTCTTTCTCTGGAGTGCCAGACCTCAATTCTGAAAAATCAGAGTAAGGCGATATAAAAGGCATATCTCTAAATTGAGAAATCCTTCTCATTTCGCCTTTCGAAATACTAAGCCCCTTTGGTAGCTTCACTCTATTGAACTTGGGGGACTAATCAAAAATCAAATCTCTCTCCTCCATCTCTCTCTCCTTATTCTCTTCTTCTTGGAGCTCTGCCGCAGAGACAGCAAGCTCAGGGTCCCAATAAGTCAACTCTAAAGCTGCTCCTTGTTCTGTTGCAACAACCTTGAAATACTGTGGGTATCAGTTACAAATAGTGTCACGAAACTCCAATGGAAGTCCAAGATCAGTCTTCAAATGGGCAATCTTCTCCAAAAGAATCCTCTTCTCAATCGACATCATCAACAATTTCCTTAGCTTGATAACCAACAAGTCCTCCGTTTCATTCCTAACCTTCAACTCCTCGAGATAAAGCTTCTTGGCCTCTGGAGTTAACTTAAACTGAAGTGAATATACCCCTTCTTCCACAATTTCAAACACAGAAGGAAATTTTCTCAACAAAGCAATAAATCGCCGCTTTTTCTGCAGCCCCAACTCTTTTCTCCATCTACCCAAATCGTGAAGGGCCATAATCCTATTCGGCTGGCTCACTAAAATCTACCTAATTTTTAAAGCCAACTTGATCTTCTTATCCCTTTGAATTACATTATCAAAAGGAAGCTCCTTCCTCTTCTTCACAGCACCCACACTTATTAACGGAACACGAAAATGGGTTCTCCTCAAATTCCCCAAAGATACATTGTTTTGCTCAAAAACCAACTTTTGACCCAAAAATGATGTCTTTACAGAGGGAATTGAAATAGGGTTTTCTAAACAGAACTTGGGTTTTCGAAGCAAAGATGATTTATGTGAGAAAAAAATGGTAAAGAGCCCATTGATGGAAAATTTATTTGCAAAGAAGTCAGGAATTTGGGTTCCATAATAACTTTCATTTCTTACGAGGAATCACTGGAAAAATGAAATAATGTAACACAACAAAGCCAACATCACAGAGCGTATGATCTATATATCTATATAAGAATAGGCTGACCTGAAGTGCTGAATTTAGGGTTCATCGGCTAAAACCCTCTACAGATTTTTTTCCCCTTATCTTCTTCTGTCCTTGACCCACCATTTGTTATGAAGAATTGAATGCAAAAGTGATTAATTCGTTCGTGCTTCGAGAGAGAGTGCGCAAAAGCAATCGTAATGAACTGAGTGGGAATCGTTAAGAACTAAGCAAGCTTCTTGGTGATGTGACCATTGCCAATGGTGGAGTGATGCCTAACATTCACAACCTTCTGCTTCCAAAGAAGACCGTTGGTTCATCGAAGCCCTTTGCTAATGAAGATTAGATGAAGTGAAAGGGAAGGACAGAGAGAATTTGCACCGTTGTTATTGAAATCACAAAGTTGGACCATGGGAGTGTTAGATTAATTAGGTTTTTGGTTCCCTGTTTTCCCTTTTTCCCAACAATTGTTAGTGGTGAATTTTACTCAAACCCTTCAAAACCAGAAAAATCAGGCCACTCAAAAACCTCATTCTTTCTCTCTTGTTTCCGATGGACAATGAATGTGTGTATTTGTGTGTGAGAGAAATAGAGAGGTTTCTTCTTGAAATGAGAGCACAAAGTTGGGGAGGATAATAGAAGGGTACCGCTATTTCCATCCACATTTTTTATATATTTATCCCACTTTAAGTTCATCCACTACAAAAATTTTAAATTTAAAAAAAAATACTATTTACATCCACGTCAGATTCCAATTTTGTCCTTGTTAAATTCATTTATTTAAATACTATGTACATCCACATAAATTTTATATATTCATTCCACTTTAAATGCATCCATAATATTATAGATTCACACAATCCCTAAAACCATAAACTCTTTTAAGTCAAATAAATGAAATACGAATAAAGTTGAACTGATTAAACATTAAATTAACATATATTATTCACTTAACCATGTTAATAATGTTTATTAGAAATCTTATCATTCTTATTCATAAAACTCAATCCATCAAAGGCAGATTCAGCCCTACCATGAAAAATAAGTCAGATTCACTATACATTAGCACATTTAATAATGCTAATAGCAATTTAATACTGACAATAGCAATTTACCTGTTAGTTGTCGTGTTTCCAAGATGCATATGTAGATTAATCCAAGCTGCCACAAACTTCTCTTTATATCGAAGAAGCCATGAAATCATGACGTAATTGATTGCTTGCGGGAACTGTTGAAATTTGGATTCTAAGAGATTTTTCTTGTACTCTTCTATAAAAAGATTTAGTATAATCCGATGAAAAAAAACCAACGGATCAATTTAGAGTTATGTATTTTTATTTAATTTTGTTTATGTCTCTTTAAGTAAATTTGCATAGGATTTAAAATATAATAAAATTTAATTTTTAAAAGTTGATGTATATATAAAAAATGTGGATGGAAATAGCGGTACCCTAATAGAATTCTAACGGACAAACATCAATGATGTGGCTTAATTGCTACTTAACGGAATCCGTTAAAGTTAACGGCAGAAAAAGTGGAACAAGAATTTCCGTTACATTCCGTTACATAGCCACTTTATATATAGGAAGAGATTTGTAATGGATACTTGTCATAAATCAAAATAATTAAAAAGGATAAATCTGTATTAAAGAATAAATTGTTGGAAGAACTACGTAACGCTTCATCAACATTTAACTTTATTTTTTGTTTGAGCCCCAAATTATCTTGAATAATAATAAAAAAAAAATCACATTTGGTAACTTAAAAATTCTATATGTTTTTTATTGTTTCCAACTTTTCATATTCAAATAATTCGGGTTATTACATTTAATATATTCCACGAGAAGGTAACTAATTTGAGAACGTTCAATCTTAAAATTTGTCAACTCATTTGAGTTGTAAGTGGATATACTCGTTTTTTGAACTTAATGGGTTCTAATGCAATTTTGAGTCAATTTTGTTAAGAAGAATATTACAACTACTCATTCGAGTTGTAGATGGATGAAATTGTGTTTTGAACTGTTTGTCATCGGGATGTAATTTAAGTCAACTTTGTTATAAAAATAATATTTCAGTTACTTATTTGAGTTGTAGACGAATTGCAATGCTTTTTGAATTAACGTCATTTTTAATCTACTTTGTTAAGAAGAATATCTCAATTTATATTTGGTACTTAGTTTTAGCTTTTTGTTTGCTAGAAATGGGTCTGACTTCATTTTTAACCACACGTTTCACCAGCTATCAATTTTATCCACTTTTGCACAACACATTTCATGGACACACCAACTTTTATCAACTTTTAACAACATTACATAGCTCCTTAACGTGGAATATTACCCTTGACAACTTCTTGTTGGACATCACCGATGTGGCCGCATCGGCGATTTTTTTTTTTACTTTATCCCTTACCACCGATGTGACAACGTGGGTATTATAACATCCTTCCTATTGTGGGTAAAAGATCAGTTCTGTTTTAAAACGTATCAACCAATGATATTCCGTTGAACGCAATTCCTTAATAAATCATTTTTCCAATAAAGATATAAATTAGTGTTTTGAAAGCCCAAAAATGTTGCAACAAAGTTCACACTAAATTGATTATATATATCAAAATCCACAATCCTTATTGTGTTGAGAGGATTTAACTCTATGATTTTCCATTCATCTGAAAATCATTGACCTGAAATCAATATTGAATCCTACCAACAATGATAGGTCTACCTGAATTTGTACTAGTCATGAATGTTGATCGGTTTTTTCGGTGAAGATAACGTTAACTAGTGGTCCGACTACTTCAAGTGGCTTAAAAAAAGTAAAAATAAAAATCTTAGAAAATGATCCAACCTGATTGACAGTTTGAGACTGAAATTTGAACTGTCCCGCTGCACAGTGCATCGCGTTCCCAAGGCTACTTATAATACATAAATCCTTTTTTTATTTGGCTGATTCAGTTCAGAGCATAAAACGGTAAAATCAAAACATTGACTAGTCATAATCACAATACAGTCAAGACCAAAAGGTCGGGCCCACATTCCCAATTTTTCCTAAAATCCCAAAAAGTAACATTGCGAGTAATCATTGTCCCTCAAAAACCAGAGTGTACGACGTCTTTCCTCTATCAAAAATCTCCTTTCGGTGTTTATCACAACTTCCATTTTTGAATATTTTCATAATTTCCCCATAGTTGAAAGTTTTGTTGACCTTAAAAACATGTGCCAATAGAATCACATCCATTCCAAGTGGGCATCATCTGCCCACTGAACATCCCGTTAGAAGTAAAGGTCGCTGATCTAGAAAAAAGGTATGATAATCGGTTGAATTTCGAGATATAAGTTGCAAAGTAGGCAATGTCTTACAAATTGTCTCAAAAATATGAGCAACTCCAATAAGGGCTTACGAACTGTCTCGAAAATATATATCGATCACAAATAGGTGAAGACTTGCAAATATAAACCATTCTAATATATGAGTACTTACAAACAGCCTCGAAAAATGTCACATATAATTTGTCAAAATTTCGACAACATCTCTTCTATAATATAGAATGAACCAACCTGCAATATAACATAATATCTCCATGCACATATACAAAGTAAATTGCGGTCCACTTGTCCTTCCAAATAATGTAAAATGATGATCAGATCAAAACTTACTAGTGTGAAGCAATTAACATGATGTTTATAAAATGACAATGTAGATAATGTAACACACGTAGTGAAATATTGTCACATCATACTTGCAATAATGTAATGATACTAAGATACTAGTATCACAATAGTCGAAAATATGAATTTCCATCCATAGAGAGGCTTCTCCTATGACCTTTTGTCGATGGGAGGCACGTGTTATCTGCTTTGAGGAATTAGGAGGTGATCCTTTTTGGGATTCAGCAGTTCTTCGAAGCGCGTACGCTTCCCTACATAGTGGATGATTCATCCACACAGAGGCTAGTCTTATAGCTAGTCTCGACGATAGTGAGAGGCGAGAAATAAACATCTTACGAAATCAGAGATAAGCATCTAGCTAGATAGTGAATAAACATCTCGCGAATAGCTCTCGAACTATCAGAGTCTTATAGGCTGTCTCGAAATGACAAGAGCTTATGGTTAAGCTTGACCGTAGTAAGATGCGAGGAATAAATATCTTGTGAAATCAGGGATAAGTATCTGGTGAGATGGGAAATAGACATCCCGCGAATAGATCTCGAACTATCGAAATCTTATAAGAGACCTCTGAATGCCGAGGTCGTACAGCTAAGGTCGACAATAGTGAGAATCGAGGAATAAAAATCTTGCGAAACTAGGGATAAGCATATGGTGAGACGGGAAATAGACATCCCGCGAATAGCTTTCGAACTATCAGAGTCTTAGAAGACGCATCGGAATGACGAAATCTTATAGTTTAACTCGGCGATAGTGAGAGACAAGAAATAAACATTTCGCGAAATCAAGAATAAGCATCTGGTAAGACAGGGGCTTATAAGATTTCGATAATTCGAGAGCTATTTGCGAGATATCTATTCTTCACCTTACTAGATGCTTATTCCTGGCTTCGGGAGATGTTTAATCCTCAGCTCTAACTATTATTGAGTCTAGTTGTAAGACATCGTCATTCTAAGCTCACTTATAAGACTCCAATAGTTAGAGAGCTATTCGTGGGATGTCTATTCCCTGCCTCGCCGATGTTTATTTTTGGTTCGCGAAATATTTATTCCTCGCCTCTCACTATCGTCGAGCCTAACTGTAAGACATCGTCATTCCGATGCTAGTTTATAAGACTCTGATAGTTTGAAAGTTATTCGCAGGATGGCTAGTCCCTGCTTTGCCGATGTTTATTCCTCGTCTCACTATCGTCAAACATAATTGTAAGACCTCATCATTTCGAGACCAATTTATAAGACTCCGATAGTTAGAGATCTATTTGCGTGATGTTTGTTCTTCGTTTTGCCATATTCTTATCCTTGGATTTGCGAGATAATTATTTCTCGCTTCTCACTGTCGTCGAGCTTAATTGTACGACTTCATTATTTCGAGGATGCTTATAAGATTCCGGTAATTCGAGAGATGTTCGCCAAATGTTTATTCTCCTTCTCCCTAGATGCTTATCCCTAGTTTCGTAAGATATGTATTCCTCGACTTTCACTATCATCAAGCTTAGCTATAAGACCTTGACATTCCGAGGCCGCTTATAAGATTTCGATAGCCATTCGCAGGATATCTATTCCCCACCTTGTTGATGTTTATTCTTGGTTTCACGAGATGTTAGTCATCTCTCACTATTATCGAGCCTAGTTGTAAGATCTCGTCATTCCGAGGCCAATTTACAANTCGTCATTCCGAGGCCAGTTTATAAGACTCTGATAGTTCGAGAGCTATTCGTGGGATTCTGCCAAAACGGATGGCACATTCCTCCTATGTACAAAAAGTCATGGGAGAAGCCTCTACATGGATGAACTATCCACCATGTAGGGAAGCGTTGAAGCTTCGATGAAGAGCTAAATCCCAAAAGGGACCACTTCCTAATTCGTCGAAGCGATAGCACATGCCTTCCATTGACAAAAATTCATAAGAGAAGCCACTGCATGAATGAACCATTCACCATGCAGGAAAGCGTGAACGCTTCGATGAAGAGCTAGATCCCAAAGGGAACCACCTCCTAATTTGTCAGAGCGGACAACACATGCCTCTCATTCACAAAAAAGCCATGGAAGAAGCCTTTACATGGATGAACTATCCAGCATGTAGGGATGCGTGGGTACTTCGACGAAGAACTGAATCCCGAATGAGACCACCTCTTAATTCGCTGAAGTTGATAGCACATGCCTCACATGTACAAAAAGCCATGGGAGAAGCCTCCCAAACGTCAAAAAAAGAGCTTACATTCAACCACGAAGATGACTTTCAAAAACACTTCATCTTCACTTCACCTAAACTTCAAAGTGAGAGGTGATGAATAAACATTTCGCGAAACTAGGAATAAACATTTAGTGAGGCGGGAAATGACAAGGTCTTATAAGTTTGATTAAGTAAAATCCTCTACATATATTCTTCTACCTTTTGCAAATAAAAACTGGATCGAGCAACTCGATAATGTATCAAGTCGAGCGAGCGAGAGAGAAAAGTTTTACTAATGGAGAGAAGTCGCAATAGTTTCTTCTTTTAACTCTAATTGAAGGATACATGCCATTGCCAGCACTAGAAATTAAATAAAACAACAGTGCATGGTTCTCTCTCTCGTCCATTTTTCATCTGAGACTGACCATTGAAAAGTTTTGTCTTTATATTGCTATGGTAATTCATAATTGACAATTCATCTCCTTTTCTTTCATGCAAGAAAAACCTCTCTAATTGTCTTGCTTTTAAATTGAACGAAGCTCCCGTTTTCACCAAAACTGATATTGGGTATGAATGAAGAAAATATTCACATTTAGTCCAATCTTCTCCTTTTAGAATTTGGGTTTCTCTCATCACTTTTATAGCTCAAGCTGGCAGCAGCCTCCAACACTCCATTTGGACTTTGGGGCACTGATGATGATGATGGAACAGTGCCATTACCCATATTTGCAGTAATGGTAGAAGAAGAAGAACTATTAATTGATGTCAAATCTTGAATTAGTTCAAGGCACTTCAACACTCTCCCCTGCAACAATAAAACACTTGTATAATTTGAGTCTTGGATCACTTCGTCTGAAAGCAAGAGTTCAATTTGATAGACGGGATTATTTCTTAAAATTATGCTTGCCAAGAAAATTGTCTTGTCTTGTCTTGTCTTGTCTGAGATTTTTATTGAAGTGGGGACATGTATAAATTACCTTCTCTACTCTTATGAAACCAGACAGGGTCTTATCAATGTCCATTGCCTGTATTTCTTCCCCTGAAACATACATTGCTATTGCTGCAGCTAATTCAGATGGCCTGAATTCCAAGAAGTCAATACCTGCATTCAATTTCCCAACCAAAGATTGAATCAAACATTTTAAATTACTGAAATAAAAGTACATTGCAAACCACTATTAAAGAAAGACCTCTGATTGTGCTTAAGATCAGTTGAACTGATCTAGTAATCAATGGCCCTGATGGGAGCTCATCGTTTTTCGCCATTTTCCGGAGGATATAGTCGATGAAGTTGCACGGAGTATAAGCTTGCATTTTCCATTTCAAAATGCTCAGTACCAAAAGCTCCATTCTTCGTATGGTTTTACCTTCAAACAAGAATTTTGGTTCCCCAACCTGTTCCATCAACCCAGATTAACAAATAAGATCATTAGTAGGCACATCGAAACCAATGCAAGTAGAATATGTGTTAATTTTTTCACCTGTAAATCCACGGTGGAAGGAACTTCAATTTCCTCCATTTTGGCTGCTAGAGATAAACAAGCCACGGCTAACAACTGAAACCCCCATGTCTTACCTCTCTGTGAACACCAAGAAAATTTTGACAAATCAGGAATGGAGAAAATAAGAATTTAATCACTATAAAACAAAATGGCAAATCAATTGGGGACTCACGGGCAGGTCATGCACAGATTGAAATCGGTCAAAGTAATTTATAGCCAAACACAAACACAGTGCTCCAAATCTGTAGTGAGCATGAGCCTGCAATCAAATAATCAAAATTATTAAAAATAAATAAAAAGCCTTTGTGATGCATTTGCAATTTATTTTTAAATGCCCAATATAACATTAAATGAGTGAATTATCATAAATGGTACTGCAAATCCAATGAGCACCAAACTTTCCACCAGTTTTTAGATGAAAACTCATTAATGAGTGAAACCCCCATTTTTAGAAAATTGATGAGAAAAATCAACAAGTACTAAAACAGCATTAGAGATGAAAATGAAAAACATCAATGGAGGAATCAAATATATAAAAAATGATTTTGATTCAAGAAACAGGAAGAAAGAAAATCAAACCCCGTTTGATTGATTAAACAAATGATCAAGAAATCAAAAAATAATCACTTCACCTTACACATCCAATCAACAGCCTCTCTTCTCACACTCATATCCAAATCCCCAGTCCTCAGTCTATTGAGATAATCATCCCTGGGCATGTGCTCCATTTCTCTCTCAACCATCAAACCGATGCTCTCTTCACTCAGACATGGCAAATGAACCATTGTCTCAGAATCTGGTCCGCCATCGACAAAGCTCATGCCTTTATTATCATCGGTTTGACAGCTGACGTCACTGAAAGAATCAACAAGATCGTCATCATCAAAGCACATACTTTTGGTTTCTTCATTACAGAGAAGGTCCGATGCTGTACACTCGTAACTGTTACTGCAAGCCATTTGAAAAATCACCTTCAAAAAATGTGAATGGAACTTGTCTCAAGAATTCATAAGCAGCAAGGATTTTTTATGGGATTTTTCTGCATGTAAAGATTGCATTATGGTTTTGCCATACTTAAAGACCTTCACAAAGAGAGAGAGAGAGAGGGGGAGAGGGGGGGAGGGGGCTAATAGACTGGGGATACGCTAAACAGAGGAGCTTTATGTAGGAAATACACATTTGTCTTTAGGGTAAAGGGAAATTGAGGGAGAGAAGACTGAAAAAACTAATTAAAAAGGGACATTTATTTATTTTTACATATTTGGTAAAAAAATTAATTATTTATTAAAAAAGGGAGGAAATAAAAGCTGGAATTGGAATGTAAATGACAAGAATGCCCTTCGTAAAGTGGGAAAGTTGTTGTGTGGTCATTAGTAAATATTGATTACATGGAAAGTAACTAAATGGTAATTAAGGGAGTGAAAGACAGTGATAATTTAATAATTATTTGATGGATTAACGAGGTTATGAGATTACATTTTAATTTTGTTAGTTTATATTTGTAAATGTACCCAAAGGTGATTTCAATTTTCATTTTGCACCCTATAATTTTTGATATTACAAAAAGTTACCTATAGAAAAAAAAAGTTGAAGAGATAATGTAGTGAAAAAGAAATAGTTATGGATAATTGAAGCCTTGTGAGTTTGTAAGTACGAGTAATCTCAATTAATATCACGATCAAAATGCAACATTTACGATAACTTGACATCTTTAATGGAAGCGTTTATCATAAGTACGGAATTTCATAAGTCGAAATTATAACTTTACCTCTTTTATTGAGAATGAGTTCATTAATGAGTATTATTAATTTATATGGGCAAGAAAATCAAAATTTTAAATCACAAGCTTTAAAATTAAAAGAACTTAACTTTTTATATTTCAATAACAAATTTGAAATGGCACGCGTAAGATGCGTCTATTTCGATAATAACTATGATACAGAATAATACAACTTCATTTATGAAGAAGAAAGCCAACCTTTTCAACCGTTTGTCGATATCTTACTTTCTAGATAGTTCGATATTAATGTAGTAAGACCACAAATAATAAATTGTTAATATTTTTTAACTTCTTCTAAATTCAAACCATATCCTACTATTTGATTACGTACCATAATTAATTTTTTAAATATTTACAACAACACTACATAAATACAATTAATGACATTTCATTCGTAACTTTTACAAATTAACGTAACCTAATTCAAAAACATATAAATAACTAGCCGTCCAATAAGATTAATTCAATGCATACAAATACCAAAAAATAGATAATAATATTACAGCAACACTATATAAAGTAAATTCATTTGCTTCAAACAGCCGTCTAAAAAAGTAAATATTAATATTACAACAACACTACATAACCAGCTCTGAAAATTTTGCTAGAGATTTTAGGAGAGAGAAGTGGTTTTAGAATTTTATCTCATTTGCATGCTTTAAATTTAATGAGCAAATTCGAATAGTCATGTAATCATGAACAAATTAAAATGTGCTAATGAGTTTTAAAAATGATTTGAGTTTTAAAATTAAAATTATGAAATAATCTGATTTATTTAATTAATTTGCTAATTTGTTTAGAAAAATAAAATAATTTAATTAATTCAATATAAAAAAAATATTTAGTTTCGGTTCTTATTCGATTTTTCGATTTTTGGTCTAAACTCGAGACCCGACCCAAATATATCGGTTCTAAATTCGGATATTTAACTTATGAAGAACAGCTATATTCGGTTCGGGAATTTCGGACACCCCTTATATCTAATGCTTTCATTGCCCATTCATTTTTTATGTAAGTTAAAATGAAGTTATGATCATCTCTCTCTTTTATTGCGAAATAGTTTATTTACGAGTATTGTTAATTAATATATTTCACAATGGACAAGAAAATCAAAATTTGGTTTGTCCTTTTTATATTATTTTCAGTTTTCAATTTTATAAAAACTTAAAACTTTTATTTGGTCTAAATATATTTTAAAAAACAAGGTTAAACTTATAACATAAAACTCAAAATATATTTCTAACATTTTCGGTATTTTCAATGAAAGTGCAATGAAAGTATAAAAAACATTCAAAATAAGGGAAATAATCGTTTAAATCAAAAAATTCTAAAAAATAAAAATTATAAAAATAAATTTTAAATTCTTAAAGTAAAAATCAAAATCAAAATTTTAAAAAATAAAATTATAAAAAAATAGAAACTCATCCTGGTTATTTAAATAAAAATTCTAAGGAAATTTATTTAAATAAAACAAATAAAAGTTCTCAATCCACATTATTAATTTTTACATTTTTATTTTCTATGTTTTCTATGTACAATCGCCCCATCATGTTCCGAGATGAGATGGGCTCATCAATGAACGACATGTACAAAGTATAGTCGGCGTTTAACACTACCTATTTGTGGAGGGTTGTAGACTTCGCGACATCGAGTTGTAAGACAATAGCTGGTTGGACTGAGTAGACATATACATATATATTGTCATTGATTTTGTTGGCCATTCATTTCTATTGTTAGTTAAAATGAAGTCATGTATCGTTAATTAACATATTTCAAAATGGGCAAGAAAATCAAAATTTCAAATTATGAGATTTAAAACTACGAGCAATTAAATATTTACATTTCAATAACAGTATTGATTATTGAAACGCGCGAAGAAGATTTGACTATAGCGACAATTACTATGATAAAGAAGATTCCAATTTCATTTGATGATATCTTACTACCTAGATTTTTCAGTATTAATGAAGTAAGACGGACAAATAATCGATTGTTAATATTTTCTTTAACTTCTTACAAATTTAAGATAGATCCTACTATTTGATTACATATACTAAAATTGTTGTAGCAAGATATAAACAGTTACGTTTTCCTAAAATGTACAACCGACCTCAACTAGGAACTCACCACGTTCCTAGCTGAGATGGGCTCAGTAATGAACGGCCAGTATCAAGTTGAGTTCAACATTTGACAATAATTAGATGTATGCCTATTTTTAGAGGGTTGTCGAGTTCGTGACATCAAGTTGCAAGACGAGCTGTTTGAACTGAGTAGACATCTATATTTTGATTGCTTTTGTTCATTTGTTTCTACCGTTAGTTTAAAGAACATTGCTACACTTACAAATTTGGTTCACAGAATTTATGTAAGGGAGTATTTTGCAGTATTTAGTTAAAAGATGACAAAAATAAAAATGAAAATGAACAACACAGATGCTGCCACGTAAAAGTTCTATGAAAAAACCACTGTACACTTAGAATTATTCTAGTTTAAATGAAGTTGCAATAAGCCCTTTTTGGCAACCGAAGAAGAGGAGATTTTGTTTAGAAATTAGAGCAAGGTAAGTAAATTTCTTTGTAGGTAAATAAGTTTTATAATAAAAATGATTTTGAATACGTAAATACTAATTCACTCTATCCCATAAATACAGACTTGCTTCTATTTTTACACAGATTAAAAAAATATATAATTGAAAAAATAATTTACAAGCTTGACTATGATAATTAAGAAAACAAAATAATCGGCTAATAGAACAATTAGTTTATGAAATACAAAATTAATTACAACTAGTGTATGTTAAAAAAAAAAAAAAAAGAATCAAAGTTCAAAAAGAAATCTTGAAACTAATTATATTTTAGAGATATTTCGTAGAATAATGCTATTTAAAACTAAAGGTGCTTTGCACCATTCTATGTGAAAGTTTTTATCACGTTGTATAATGAAATCAAAATTTATTTATATTTTGCCATATAGACCGATGATAATAACCACTTTTTGCTACATAGAATTATTCATTTCACCGTGCCAACATTTTCAAAAGAAAATTAAACTCTTCATGAGAGAGTGCAATAGCTGATTTTAGTAAGTTTTTACAAATATTATCAGTCCTAAGCCATACCCTCCGGCAGGGTTAAACCATCTTTCCGGGATAGCATTTCAAAGTTCTTCCATATGATAGGAAATGAAAAGGGATCATAAATATAGTGGGCACATGAGAACTCATTTTTATGCACTTAGATTTGAATGCATAGGATACTGATTTTGAATCTTGAAATTATGAGAGAAAGCTTGTAAACTTAGATGTAAAGGAGCATGCATGTCGTGTTTAATTATATATTCTCCCCTTTCTTAGACTTGGGGCAACACAAAACTCAAGTCCCTTTTCTTCTCTTAGAGATGCTCTCTCACTCTCTCCATAGACACACATTCAGAGGAATTGTTTACCTTTGCAGCACCTTCTTTTACAAGGGTGGGGGGCCTTAACCCCAAAAAATTCTGGTTAGACCAAATATGAGGCACTTTTAACCACAAGCATCCCATGTCACGTGTTAAGACATAAAAATTCCATGACCACACCCAAAAAAACTTTTTGGTAATTTGTAAGAAAACATATTCTTCTTGGACATGAATGCATGGACATTGGACACAAGATGTGGTCCTCCTACATTTACTCTTTTATAAATTATACAGCTATTGCTTGAGATTCGAGCTCGTCAACACTGCCCCCCATAGCCACCACCCCCCACCCCACACACACACATCTGTCTGTGTGTGAGTGTTGCTCAGCATATATCAAAAGCATGCATCCAGCACATCAGCCATTGCTTCTGCTACTCCATGATAAGCGCTGATATTTGGTTTATAAATGCATATATTAATCCTCCATTTGTAAATTGTAATTCCATCTCAATCTTAACTTTAAGTAGAGAATAAAAATAATGTGGCTAGACGACAAGGGCCACAAGGCCAAGCTTTACCCTTTTACAAGCCTAAGACTTAGGCTTGGATGTAAAGTGTGGCTAACGACAAGACCAAACTTCGTGACTATGTGCGCTTTTTTAGAACACTGATAAAAATACTGTTGTGTCACATTGGAAAAAATGGGTAACAATGATTTGCCAAAGAAAAAAACATTGCAAATAATTTTTAAAATTACTTGGGGTTGCTTTCTCAAATTAA